ACGCACCACCGCAGTCGGTCGGAATGGGAAAACACCATGACAACGCCTCCAAGGAGGGAGACGACGCGCCGAAGGCGTCGCCGTCGTCTTGCCGACAGATCCGACATGGCTTTCGCCGGTGCTCGCCCACATCGAGCACAACAAAACAGGGAGTCTTGAAGGCACGCCACCCCTGCCCTCCACCGCTTGACTATACATGCATGCACAACACAGGATGGAGCGACTCCGGCGAGAGCAACGGGGGATCAGGCGGAGTGCATCAACGAAGCCATCAAGAAGGAATGACATCCACGGACGCCGAGATGGTGAGCCTCTCGTGTTCGTCGCCGTTGTAACTACTAGGCATGCTGCTGCCGCGACGATCTCTTCTTGCTCTGATCAGTGGCAGAAACAGCTCCTCCTGCCTCTGCCGGATGGTGGGCACCTTCTTCCACCGACGGCAGAACACCTGCTTGGTGACGGCGGGGCAGAAGGCGAACACCTGGAAGCCGATGTACGACGCGAAGAGCTCCGTCTGCACGGCCTCGATCTCCCCGACGCGGCGGGCGTGCAGCCTCCGGCCGAAGCACATGTGGGTGAGCAGCGAGAACACGGCGGACTGGAGGCACTCCACGACAAGCACCACGCCCCCGCCGTCCTTGCTCCGGCGCCCGAGGTCAGAAACCAGGGCCGCCAGAACACGGGCTGAGGACGCCGGAGGTGAGGTTCCGCCGCAGCGAGCGCCAGAGCGGGCCGTACGGCGCGGAGCTGACGGTGATCTGGCCGCTGTTGAGCACGCGGAAGGGCGCGATGGCCGGCGGCCGGCTGGCGAGCGCGGGCCCGCGCTGGACGAGCGCGCGGTGGGTGACGCCCCGGCCGGACACGAAGACGGCGGGGCGCGGGGAGAGGAAGCGCAGCGCGAGGACGGGGCCGTGCCGGCGGTGCAGCTCCCGGATGGCCGGCTCGAGGCGGTTGCGTGCACGCACGAGCCAGAGGAGCGGGCCCACGATCGCGCAGTTGTACGGCGCTGCTGCTTGATACTGCAATCCCAGGGGCGGTGCAGGGGAAGACGACGACGGCGCGCACCAGTACGTGGCTTGAGGTGCCTACGGCCAGGTGGTGGCGCTGCGCCGGTGCCGCCTTGAGTGGTCCGAGCAGGATGGCGCTGCCACGGCGGCACCCCACTGGGCACTGGCGCGGCGCGACGCGCGACTTCTGAGTCCATGGGCCATGGCAATTGAGGATGGGCCAGAGAATTGGGCTGTTGGCCATGTGACACCCAAAGAGGGATAACATGGGCTGAGAAGAATAGCAGGAGAAAGAAAATAGGGCCCACTTTGGCGGAGGTTCGAAGCGCCGCGAAGGAATGGAGCGGACGATGCGGCTGTGCGTCTACCTCCTCCGGTCTCCGAGATCTGACCGGCGGTGGCCATGAAGCGGCTCCCCGTCCTGGCCGTCCCCGTCCTCCTGCTCCTCCTCTCCCTCTCCTTCTTCCTCTTCCGGCCTACTTCCCCGCCGGTCCTCAGCTCTCGGCAAGCCTTCGAACCCGACCGCCGTCTCAGGGCCTACGTGGCGGACCTCCCCCGCGCGCTCAACTACGGCCTGCTCGACCGCTACTGGTCCCTCCGCGCCGCGGACTCCCGCATCCAGGCCTGGTCCGACCCCGACCACCCGCCCCCTCACGATCACCCACCGTACCCCGAGAACCCCCTCATCAAGCAGTACAGCGCCGAGTACTGGCTCCTCGCCTCCCTCCGCGCGGCGGCGACGGCGACGGCCGCCGTGAGGGTCGTCGCGGACTGGAGGGAAGCCGATGTCGTCTTCGTCCCCTTCTTCGCCACGCTGTCCGCGGAGATGGAGCTCGGGTGGGGAACCAAAGGCGCCTTCCGCAAGAAGGACGGCAACGAAGACTACCGGCGGCAGCGGGAGGTCGTCGACCGCGTCACCTCCCACCCTGCGTGGCGCAGGTCTGGCGGCCGCGACCACATCTTCGTTCTGACAGGTAATCCAGATATTATCAGCAATTTTGAACCTTCGATTGCAAGCTGGTGAAGGTTCCAAATAATCCTGTATGCTTTCTCAGCGTCAGTGCTATATTGTGTTTATAACTTGCCTTGCCTGCAGCTGTATATACATGCAAAACTTAACAGTTATGTTAATGCAACTCTGTTTCCATGGCTGACTGAGGCTTTTCCTGCAAAAATGCAAATATATTTTAATATGATGTGTTGTGTTTATGTCATGTTGAAGATTTATCTGCGTAGCAGCTTATTGTTCTTTTACGTGCTCATGTTATGTTAAATACTGAAGCTTTCTTTGGCAGACCCTGTGGCTATGTGGCACGTCCGAGCTGAGATTGCTCCTGCAATTCTTTTGGTGGTTGATTTTGGAGGATGGTATAAACTTGATTCAAAGTCTGCAAGCAGAAACTCGTCTCGTATGATACAGCACACTCAAGTGTCATTGCTTAAGGATGTTATTGTGCCTTACACGCATTTGCTTCCGACGTTCCTCTTATCAGAGAATAAAGATCGTCCCACCCTTCTCTACTTCAAGGGTGCGAAGCATAGGCATCGGGTTTGTGCCTTTTATCACTCTATTCAGCACTCAGCCTGTTTGTTATCCTTTATCAGTAATCTGGATTCTAATAAGTTTGACAAAACTATTCCCATGCATTTCACAGATCATGAAAAATGTTACAACCAGTACATCTAGGTGTTTTCTTGTTGTGGAAAATATATACTTGCATTGTTTTTATGTTTACCAGCTTTCAAATATCTGAAGTTGAGCTACTGAAAGTGAGAGGAACCAACATACGATGCTAGATGCATTTTACTTATAAAATTTCTTCGAGGCTTTTGTTAGCTATCATTTTGGGCAACATGCTTCCAACAATACTCGATCCTAATGACCTTATAGTTTGCTGTGCCAGATAATGATCTTCAGAAATGAACTCTATGTCGCTGCTTTCTCTAGCATTCTACTAGGATAGTCGATCGTGCATTGTGAAAAGTTTCTGCAGTGTACATAATTATTGGTTGTTGCATATGATTGTTTTCTGCAGTTTACATAATTATTGATCAGTAATGACAAAATAGACAAGTTAAGCAGTCAGACTAAGATACATTAAACATTGTGGTTATGATATCTAGATGATATTTCTAACTTTAGCATTGGCTTCATGCTTTTGAATATACAATTTTCTTCTTTCAGGGTGGTTTAGTGCGAGAGAAATTATGGGATTTGCTAGATAATGAGCTTGATGTTATCATGGAAGAAGGTTTCCCTAATGCCACCGGACGTGAACAATCAATAAAAGGGATGCGTACATCAGAATTTTGCTTGCACCCATCTGGTGACACCCCAACTTCATGTCGCCTCTTTGATGCTATTGCCAGTCTTTGCATACCAGTCATTGTTAGCGATGAGGTTGAGCTCCCTTTCGAAGGGATAATAGACTACACAGAATTCTTGATTTTTGTGTCAGTCAGTAATGCTATGAGACCGAAATGGCTAACAAGCTACTTGAGGAATATTTCCAAGCAGCAGAAGGATGAGTTCCGAAGAAACCTGGCTCGTGTTCAACCTATCTTTGAATATGACACCAGTTACTCCATGAGCAGAGGCTCTAGCTCCATTGATGGTGCTGTGAATCACATATGGAAGAAGATTCATCATAAACTGCCAATGATTCAGGAGGCAATCATCAGGGAAAAGCGGAAGCCTGAGGGCGTGTCAATCCCGCTCCGGTGTCATTGTACATGAACTTACCATAGCTGCCACGGTACCCCATGGGATGGGCTTATAATGAGCAATTACTCCAAGTTAATTCCTTTTTTGTTGTTTTTATTGGTAGTTGCAAATATGAGCATGTAAAAAAATGGCTTATGTTTTTAACCCATTTTTTGAAATCCTTCAGAAGTGGGTTTCTACGTTGTTCTATGTGTCATTCGAGTGGATTTGCATGTTCGGCATTGATGATTCGTCATACAGGAAATAGCCCACTTGGATTGAAAAACTGGAATGGAATTTGTTTGTTTACATCGATAAGAATTGATAAAGAATATAGTCCGCTGCTGAACAAATATATGCCTTGTTGTCCAAATGAAAGGGGGTTATTTTGTGAATGCCATCCATTGCTCTCCTAAACAATATTAATTTGTAGCTTGTTACCGAGAAAATAACGGATTTCTTAAGATGATGCAACCCCCATTCTTAAGTGGCTGCACATTGCTAAAATGTAAATCGTATACGAGGCTAGATATGCACTCAGGCTTGTGACCTTCTAGTATAACTCTCATTTAAGATCACTAGGATGCCAAGATCGACTGGAGTAGCACCTGTCCTGTTTAGGGTAATCATCAGGCTAATCACAGCAAACCCACTCATAGCCTTAATTAGGGCACCCTCAACAGCATCAAATAGTTACTAGTTCTAAGACTTTTAACACCTAGCTCATAATATAGATAGCCTCATATGACATTATAACAACAATGCATTTGCTGACGAAACCTTAGTTGCTCTATAGGAAAACTGACAAGCGGAACACAACCTTAATTTCTCCTGTTACAAAAAAAACCCTTAATTTCTCCAGAGGAAGGTATTTCAGATGCAGCCACACAACACACAAGCTCCACGTTCCTCTCCAGCCAATCACAGATCAAAAGGGCAACGGGCGGCAAGAGGAATTGCATGGAGTACACTGTACACCATCAGCATCAGGTAAAGCCAAGCACATCACTGAGCATCTGAGGGTGAGAGTTTCACTTCGGACCAGGCTAATAATCATGCTTTTCCACTAAAACAGCCAAGGCAGGGAGACGTTAGGCCATCGCCACCAAGTACTAGAGATCACATGGGAAGCAAGCACAACTCGTCACTGATGAATTTCAAGAAAAAACTCGTCACTGAAGAACTCATCACATGTCTTACTTGTGCTTAATAGATGAAATAAGAAGTGGGAACTTGGAGGCATTGCAGGAAAGTTCAAATAATCTACTAGTACTAGTAGTATTAATTAATCACTGTGCGTTGGAGCTAAACAAGAGAAAAGCTACCAGCATGGTGGCCAAAGGAACAGATATATTGTCATCTACAACTTCAGTCACAGGAATACACTCCACTACTGTTGCTGCCAGTGCAACAAGCGCCAGCTTACCAAGTGCCTCCTCCCAGATAACATGAATGTAACCCAGGCTTGAGAAGTAGAACATCATCCTGCAATGAAAAGTATTGGTACATAAGTAGGGAAAGAAAAACTCTCAATACACATCAAAAGAATGAGCAATGCATATATGAGGCAATAACCTACATCGCGGACAGCAGGAAACCAGAAATGAACATAGAGATGCTCCCGGCCCAGCTCTTCTTCTTATTGAATGGCAGCTTCGCTGAGCCATACCTTCTCCCAACAATGTCAGCGAACCCTGCCAAGTTATGGCCCAAGCAAATGCAGATCACTTATAACATAAACAATCAAATGCAATGGTGTTCTACAAAATAACATCGTGCTAGAAGCGTGGGAATACCATCGCCACCACTCATCATCGACAAGGATACAATCCCAATGGGGGACTCACGCCAGAAGACTAAAACACTGAACAGCAGCACCAAGACATAATAGAGTGGACCTCTCAGTAATTCCCTGTAAAGAAGCAAAGTCGTTATTGTGAGAGCAGCAAGCTAAATAATCATATGAATTTTCAGTTAATAGGATTTACTCTGGTTTTCCTTCACGTGTCACTGATTTTACTAGAGCTTCATCAGTGTAGAGACGGAGTCCATATGTCAGAAGCCTTATGGAGTTCAAGAATGGAACGACTGCAGCGAAATACCGTGCTTCTGTCGAATTGCTGCAGGTAGAAGTAGAGCATGCTTTGCTTTCATGCCTCATGTGGTGGCTTTGAAGTGTGAAAGGTTATGAGTCTCGATGCATGCCAGGGACAGGGAATACCTGAACAGTGGCCAAGATGACATGAACAGGACGCCGGATAGCACGTGCACAACCTTCCTGCTCAAACTCTGCCTTTATTCATGATATTAATCAGAAGCCAGCAACAGTGAACATAAGCAAAGTGATGTGAATTTCATCTAAACTGTGTAATTAGTTTTATTTTTTATTTATATTTAATTTCACTGATCAAAGCATCAAAATTTTGGGAACTAAACAGGCACATAAGCAAAGTGATGACATCTATGTTTCTTTCACTGATCAAAGCCTCGGCCTCCTTAGACCTTAGCTACGGACCCCTTTACTGAAAATGGAGCCACGACAGGTAGGCAAAGCTAAAATTTTGTTTTTTCAGGTAAGAACAGGGGAGGTGAAAGTCTCAACCTTTTCGATGAGCCGCCGCTCGGTGAGCTCGTCGAAGACGCGCACAAGAGAGTAGGCGCCGGCAGTGATGAGCACCGTGACCGCCCCGTCCTGCAGCACCGCCGGCGGCGCCGCGGCCGCCAGCGCTGCAACGGCCGGGGTGCCGACGCCGAGGAGGAGCCGCCTCCGCATGGAGCTCCCCGGCGAAGGCGCGAGCGCGGCGGCGGCGGCGCGGGGAAGGCGAGCGCGAGAGCAGCTGCGAGTTGGAGGATGCGGCGCGGGGGCATGCCGTCGCAGCAGCCATGTGGGCTGTGGCCGAAGTAGCGACAGGAATCTGCGGATTTTCCACCCACTAGCGGGTATAGCGACGCACATGCGATGTGTGATGTGTCACTCGGGCTCGTGGGCTTGTGGGCCCTTGATGGTCACTTCTGCTGTTGTGTTCATGTGGATGTGTGACAAAGCGAAGGAATACAATTGGCTCACGGGGCATCTGCGCTGCAGTCTCGCAGCGATCGTTTGTTTGGCTTATAAATTATATTTTTTTATTAATAAATAATATTTTTTATTTATATTAAATTAATTAATAATATTTTCAATTATAGCTTATAAGCTAAATAAGCCAAAGCAAACAATTGTGGTGCCACTTGGCGATGCGTACAAAAACATCTCGCCACGGCTGACACAATTGTGGTGCACAATTTTTTTTTAAATACGAAGAAATGGTAAGCAGGAGTACTGTACTATACCTATTTAAAATGCAGGAGGGATTAGCACTGTTTGTTTGGAGCCCTATCCAAACATGAAAAATACTGACGTATAGTAGTAAATAAACATTGTAACGGAGTCCCTCCGTTCTAAGGCTCGTTTGGTGGAGCTCGCGCCGGCTCCGGCTCTGCCACTGTGCGGGGTACTGTGGCGGAGCCGGCGGAGCACCATAAACGTAGCTTCGACAGCTTATTTTTAATTTACGTTCGTTTGTATAGGAGCCGGAGCTGCTTTTTTAGCCATTACAGTGATCTACAGGGTTGCACAGTCGCTGCATGAGGAGCCGAAGCCCTGGAGAGCCGAACCAAACACGGCCTAAATTATAAGACGTTTTGGCTTTTCTAGATACGTTGCTTTTACTATGCATCTAGACATAATGTATATCTAAGTGCGTAGCAAAACTTATTAATCTAGAAAATCCAAAACGTCTTATAATTTGGAATGGATTAAGTACTATACAAGTGCTTAATAAGTAGTAAAAAAATCCTAGAGTATATATTTTATATATTTCAAAAAAACGTGTAAGCAACGCCTAAACTAAATCGGAAAAACAGAATCAACTAGCTCTTCTAGCTCTTCTGCGATGAGCGACCCGGCGTGTCGCGTGGCCGGGAACCGGATCATGGCCTCCACGGTGTCCGTGCTGCCCCTGCTCTTGGTGCAGCCGTGCAGGTGCGGGTCCTGGCGTCGCAGACGGGGTGATCGGCGGGGCAGCAGGTGGCGCGGTCCTTGCAGCAGGTGGCGCCGTCGGCGGCGCAGCAGCCCCAGACGAAGCAGACGTTCCGGACGCCGTACGTGCAGCAGCAGGTGTTCCCCGCCGGGCAGGAGCTGTGGCGGTCGCAGGCCACCGGGGACGGCGGCGTCGGCGGCGAGGGGGACGGGTCCGGGTTCGCCCCGCTCTTCACGGGGTAGGACGCCTCCATGGCGATGCCGCACTTGCCAGCGCGCGCGCCCACGTTGCGCTCCATCCGGATGTAGCCGCCCTCGCCCCAGTCGGCGCCCCACGAGTTGCGCACCAGCCAGTAGTCCCGCCCGCCGTCCTCCTCCGTGCCGTACCCCACCGCCACCACGCCGTGGTCGAGCGACGTGCCGCACCTGCCGGTGAACACGCCCTGCATGCCAGCCATGGTTGTTGCGCCGTCGTCAGTGTTTGGAAGAAAAAGAAAGACGTTGACCTAGGGCACAGCAGTAGCTAGTTGACTTACCGGCTCGTAGAGCTGGAACTCGCGGCCGCCGGCCTCCATGGCGACGGCGACGGGCTGGTGCGCGACAGCCTTCTGCAGCGACTTCTCGTCGTTGCGGGGCACGTCCTTGAAGCCGTCGATGGACACGACGTGGCGGCTCCTCTTGGCGACGTCGCACTTGCCGTCCCGGGCGGTGTAGGGGTAGTCCTTGTCAGTGTCGATGCCGCCGTTGCCGACGATGAAGGCGAACGCGTCGTCCATCATGCCGCCGTTGCACCCGCCGTTCTGTCCGTTCTTGGAGCAGTCCACCAGCTCCTGCTCCGACAGCGTCACCAGCTCGCCGGTCACGATCTGGTTGATCCCTCTTCCACCGCGCCCACCGCCGAGAACGCCCAGCAGCTACCTGCTCACCATGCAAAACGCATCGCTCGGAGCCGTAAGCAATTGCAATGCGATGCAAAGATCGAGAGGAAAAAGGAAACGTACTGCTATGCTAAGCTAAGCAACTAGTGTGATGTGATGTGATGTGATCCTTACCGCATTGGCCCTGGTTCTTGACGGGAGCGACGGCGCCCTTCTGCCTCCAGTCCACGGACTCCGGCAGCGCCTCGACGCCGTCGTAGCGGTACCTCTCCCCGGTGGTGGCGGCGGCGGCGGTGGCGTTGCGCGCGCCGGCGCTGAGGTACGCGGCGCGGAACTCGGCGTTGGTGAGGTCGGCGAAGCGGTTCATCCCGAGGCGGTACCCGCGCGCGCCGGCGCGGGCGTTGTGCGCGTCCACGAACCGGAGGTTATCCCAGAACGCGCGGAACCGGCGGTCGTGCTCGCCGAGCACGTTCGACGCCGCCTTGCCGTGCCGCGCCATCCACTGGTCGTACATTGCCCGCACCTGCGCCTCCGTCCGCGCAATCGCCATGCCGCCCACCGCGTCGCCGCAGGGCGCCGCGGCGGCGGCCAACGCCGACGCGAAGCAGAGGAGGAGGATGGACAGGGCCAGCTCGACGATGCCGCGGCCGACGCCGCCCGCCATGGCCGCGTGTCGCCGGAGACTTGCGACGCCGAGGGTCGTGTCGAGCTACCTACTAGGGGTTCTGTACGCGCGTTGTTGTGCGAACGACTTGCGTTGCTTTGCTTTGGATTGGACGTGCCGGGAAGGCCGGTGCCCAGCGGGTTTTATTGGTAGGGCCGTGAAGTTGTGGTCGGACACGTGACAGTAGATGGAATAGGACACGTCGCTGGGTGTACCGAAGTTGGTACGTATTCCGTACTAGGTTCATGCTGTGAGCCTGTAACACGATGTAATCGTACTCCAACTCCAATATGGTGCGGTACACGATCATGATATTCGTCTCAAAAGCATTTGAATTTGAAAAATAATATGTTTTTCGGACAGTCAAGACGAACTCAAAAAGGTCACGAATCCTCCAAAAAAAAAACTCGAGAACGCGACTGTCACGTTACTCACGTCACGTCGGAGGAGCACGGCTGCAGTGCGCGGCACCAACTCCCAAGTCCCAACTCCTGAACGCGACCATGCGTCGGTTCGCACGGCCCAGCAAAAAGTGATGGGCTAGAAACCGGGCCCGTTAAGCCCATCGATGTAACGGTGCCGTACTCGTCCAGGCCCAGCCTGATCTCTCCCTGCACACCCGTTCGATCTCTCCCCAGGCTCCGGCGGAATTCCGTAACTGTGCTCCCACGTCGCCGTCGGCTGCCGCCCGTGCAATTCCTGAGGGAACTCCACCGGAAGGCAGCACGATGGTTCAGAAGAAGAAGAAAGCGGCGGCGGCGACCAAACTCCGCAAGCCGCCGAAGCGCGACGCGGTAGCGAGCTATGCTCCATTGACGCAACCTCCGCGCTTGGATCCTCTCCGGGGGCAGGAGTGTCTGACTTCATTTTCTCGGTCTCGGTTCCCTCGCAGGAGAAGAAGCTTGGTAAGAAGGGTGACATGGCGCAGTTCAGGGCGCAGCTGGACTCCCTTGGGCTGAAGATAGTCGAAGTCACGGCAGATGGCAACTGCTTCTTCAGGTTTAGTAGTAGGACTGCCTTCTTTTGGATTCTACTGTGCATGTCCTTATCCTCACAGGAAGAAGAAACTAACTGATTTTGAACAAAATACTTTTTTAAAAAAAGAGCAAATGGCAGGAGCTCTACCTTTTCAATTATTATTAAGCAGGAGAGAAGTGTTAAAAATACGTTTTAAGAGATTTTGAACAAAATGCTGGAGCACCCTTTGAGCTGTGCGTCCTTTTGAGTTATATGACTACTCATTGTAGTATGCAGGGCAATGGGTGACCAGCTTGAGGGCAATGAAGAAGAGCACATGAAGTACCGAGCTATGGTTGTGGAATACATTGTGGTATGTGGGATAACCTTTTGTAATTGGCGAACTGTAATTGTACTCATGATGTCATGAACTAGAGGGGAGCTTTAGAAGCGTTTTAGATTTTAATTGACCATGCTAAATTGCTGGTGGTACATGCAAGGGTTGGATAATTTATGCTTTCTAATCCTTGTTGTGCGCATCTGCAGAAACACCGCGAGGAGTTTGAGCCATTTATCGAGGATGAAGTTCCGTTTGAGGAATACTGTGACTCTATGCTAAAGGATGGGACTTGGGCTGGCCACATGGAGCTGCAAGCCGCTTCTCTGCTGACAAGAAGAAACATATGCATTCACATGGTGGGTTAGCGATGCAAGCCTAGAAATAGAATTTTGATTTATTTGATTTATATGTAGCACACTTCATGCAGTCGAGAATATCATGTGTTGTATGGATTATGTTTCTAATATCACTGGGATGCTCTGCAGTTCTAGTTATCATCGATGGCATATTGCAAGTATTAATTAGCAGCTGTGCGTTTCTGATCTACTATTTGATTTGCAGCTTAACTCACCACGTTGGTACATAAAGCAACTTTTCTGGCTGTGAAGCTACTAGCATGGTTCACTTGTAAGTTAAAGTATCCTTCAACTGTTTGTACAGGTTGAATGATGGTAACGTAAATCTAATTTGATGCCAATGCAGGTCTTATCATCATGGTGAGCACTACAACAGTGTCAGGCTGAGAGAAGATCCATGTCAAGGTCCTGCAATGCCAGTTGTCATCAAGGTTTTTTGTTGTGTGATTTGTAAATGGTTCAGTTCTGTTTGTGTCCTGGAAGAGCTCTGAAAAATAGTCTTGAGGGAACATTGACAATACTGCCACTTACTTTGGCCTTTTTCCTTTGGTTATTGAGTTACAGACTGATGCCAATATATCCAACACAAACAATAACGCTCAAACAAAAGCAAAAGAGGTGAAGAAATCTTCACACAGATCAACCTATGACCACACATCAGTTAAATTGGTCATGGCTGGAACTGGATGTTCTGACGTTGCCATAGCTAAGCATGTATGAACTATATGATCGATCACAATTTTTGCAGCTCAGTTGTGTATTTACTTTAGATTCCTTGTTAGTAGCCATTTTTTCTTCTAGTGTGAAATTTGCTATTATCATACAGGTCCTGGGAGAAATGGACGGTGATGTTGATGCTACCATTGAGTACATGATAGCGGAGCGACTTGCAGTCAGTACTGATGGTGCGGAGGTAGACCCTTGTATGGACTATGCATGTAATGGTAAGTATCACAGACTACCTTGACTCCTGAGGCACTATAAATGTAGTTGTCTGAGTATGATCTTGTTCCAGTAGTATTTTTGCCAAAATACGGATGTTGGTGCAAGAAAATTCCTTGGCTGAACAGATTGTAGTGAGACCTATCCGTGGTATGATTCAAGGGCATATTTGCACCACTGACATACATTCAGCAGTTGTTACAAATATGAAATTCGCTGACATATGTTGTCATCCCAAACAATTTACTTCTTTGCTTTCTATCTTGGGTATGCCTCACTCATGAATTTGTCAAAAGGGTATGATTGGTAGGTAGTTCAGTTTCTATATACAAGCTGTTCTGGTTGCATGCATATTAATTAACAGATTTACCATTTTTTGGTCATCATGAAGATTATCATTGAGAAGAAGCTTGAATAGATATTTGGTAGGACTGGTTTTGTTGCTGGGCTACACCTCAATTAGTGTTTGTAATGGCCAAAGGGGTTTAATATCCGAAGCAGTAGCCCCATGGACAATAGATTTCTGATCATATGGAATTTCTGTCGATCTCAGAGAAAATGTCTGTATAATTCTTTTAGTTGCTATTAGACTGATTTTGGGAAGTATGTCTAGATGTTTAGGGAAGCTAGGGCATTGACTATTGGGTTGGTTTCTGTTTAATTTTCTCATCCTTGTTAATTAAGGTTCAGCTCTCTAAAACGATCACAACTTGAATTTATTTTCTGTACATATTTTTTGTCGAAAACGATTGGAACACCTTTTTTTTTTTGCATATTTTTCTCTGTATATGGTCAAAGTCTATTATTTCATAGGAGATGAACTTATCAAATGGCAAGAGGAGAACAACATGATTGAGCACAAGGATGAAGCAAGTTGTTCCAGCAAAGATGAAACTGTCGAGAAACCAAAAAAATCAGATGTGCAATCTAAGAAGGTAACTGTCATGTGCACAATTATTAACTGATCGTGCCAATATTGGTGTCTTGTGGCTTCATTATCCTGAAAGCAACAAATGGGAAATATATATTCTTGTTGTCATACAGGAGAAGTCGAAAACCAAGGATTGTTGCTCCTGTGGATCAGCAAGGAAGCACAAGGCGTCTTGTAGTCTAGCCACAGCATCGTCATCATCAAGAGAGCCTCCAAGGTATAACCCTTCAATGTTTACATAGTCTTTTGTCATATGCTATGCTATACGCCTATACCTGAGATTTTTTACCACATCACGGAGTTGTTCTACTGGTTGGCAATATGTTCTCTATGAATAAAATAAAAAAAACAACATATCACATATACACTGATTGTTACATCTGTTCTTTGTATTGGTAGCACCTTGGTTTTTAACAACATATCACATATACACTGATTGTTACATCTGTTCTTTGTATTGGTAGCACCTTGGTTTTTATTAGTTGGTTACACATAGACATGAAATGAAGTGCTTTAAATGTGCTTGATAAACTCATCAGGGCCAAAGGCGGGCAAGGGAAAGGCCAGAAAGGAAAGAAGCAAAAGAAGAAAGAACAAGCGGAAGCAGCACCTGCCAAGGCCAAGGAGTCTGCAGTTGCGCCAGACCTAGGAGCTCTTTGCATCTGAACACAAGCAGCAGATACGTCAGGCCTGCTTTACATCCAGCTGTGTCTTCTCATGCTTAGCTGAAGCGAACGCGATCTGCTGACTGCTGGGTGCTGACTGAGTGACCGACATGTAATTCATCCTAACCATACGACAGGAGGGGCGATGGTGTTGGTAAACTAGCAGGTTTTGAGATGGGTATAGAATCATAGATGTGTCATCAATGCCATATTTTTTTTAGAAATGCGCTTCATTACATTAGAGAGAGAAAAAGGTCCCCATACAACTCCCTTTTCTCATAAGGGGATCAAATATGAGAGATAGTTAAACAGAACAAAAACTAGCCTATGAAACAAAAAAGTACATGACCAAAACTTGACCTAGCTGTTTAAATTACACCAGTTAGGCCTAGGCCTTGCAGCTTCTTAGCGCCGGCCAGATACCAAAGGCTGTGTTCGTCTTTGAGGTCTCTCATAATGGAATCGACCGAGGGAGCCATCCCCTCAAACACACAAGCATTTCTATGCTTCCATATTATCCAAGCACCCAAAATTATTAGGGAATTTACCCCTTCTTGTATTCTTTTTTCACTTTCTTCAAAACCTTGCGCCACCGTTCGGCGAAGCTGCACTCCCGCTGCCTTGGAATGCAATCACCCAGGTTCAGGGGTGCTAAAAGCTTGCACCAAACCTGTCTTGCCATCACTTAGCAAGTGTTGTACTGTCTCATCCTCCTGATCACATAGGGGGCATTGCTTAGGATGAGGCAGCCCTCTCTTTTCAAGTCTATCTGCCGTCCAGCACCTATTACGAATTGCCAACCAAAGAAAAACCTTACACTTATTTGGAGCCCAAGTTTTCAGAGTCTTCTCCAAGGCTCAAAGGTTCTTGATCCTCGGAAATAAGCCCGATAAGCAGATTTAGAGGAGGAGTAGCAGCCCTGTGTTCCAATTTCCAAATGTGTCGATCTTCAAAATCATTTAATGAAGGCCCCGGACACAGTCCCATAGTTGCGTAAACTCCCGATTCCAATCCAAGACAGACTCTACGTACATACAAAAACCCATTTATTATTGTCCAAAGCCTCAGCCACTATTTGTCTTTTACGGACCCTTGAGACACACTTGCAAAAACCTCAGGTGCAAGATTCTCCACTGAACAACCATGCAGCCACCTATCTGTCAAAAAAGCGTATTATTTCCATTTCCTAACTATGTGCTGACAGCAATAGAAAACAAGGCTAGTGAGTTAGGATGCAAGGGGAGTTCAAGATCAACCCAAGGTCGACCAGTTCGGGTTTTCTTATGCCACTGCCATCTAGCTTGCAATGCCCAAGCCATGACCTCAAGATTGATAATTCCTGGCTGACCTTTTCCCATGCAACTAAACAACAACCTCTATAAGCTTGTTCCTTCCCCTTCCAAAGAAAGCCTCTTCGGATTTTATCAATCGCATTTATGAACCATTTTGGACCGTTGATGGCGATCAGAAGATAAATAGGTATCGCTGAGAGAACAAACCGGACCATAGTAATACGCAGCTTTCCATCCTGGCAACTTATCAGCCACCTTCTCAATCCTAGGTATAAGGTCAGCTTTTCTCAATTTCTTGTTGGACAGAGGCAACCCTAGATAAGTGCAAGGAAATTCGGCAACAGTGCAAGGGAGGGTATCTCTTACTGGCTCTAGGGAAACATCGTCACATCGATGCCATACTTAGTAGTTATAGACAAATCTTCTTTTGATGATGAATCCCGTGTAAAGGAATGTCGGTTGCCGAAAGCGCAAGCTGTTGAGCCTGTCGACCGGGCTCTGTGTAACACCTCTGGTGTTTTGACCTAGCATTAAAACTTAATATGTCATCATATGCATTGCAAAGCATTCATAAAGTAGAAATTTTAAATGCATTCACTAAATAAGCTTTATTTCATAGTTGTTATTTTATGTGATGTAATGTGATCCAAAACTCTAAATAAAGATCATGACCACAAGGGTCAAATTTCATGTGATCATGTGAGACCATGTGCCATTTGACTCAAATAACCCTAATGGACCATGTAATTGGTCAAAACCATAATTAAGTAAAAAGGTAAACAAATCAAATTGAATTCAAATTCAAATTTATAAGTCCTTTTTGCCCCTTTTGTCTATTTCAAAATCCATTTGGAATTTGGAGGTGTGACAAAAAGCAAAGTTGAAGCTTATTTTATAAGGATCAACTTTGGTATTCAAAGTTTTTAAAGTTTACATATAAAGTTTGGAGTAATTTTGAAATGATTCAAATGATCAAATGCACCCTAAATTCAAATTTCAAAATGGAGGCAGAATTTGAAAATGTTCATTTAAGCAAAGTTGGAGAGTTTGAAAAGTTGAGCAACTTTTATTTTTGGAGATTTTCAACTTCTTTAGAAAATTTGTGAGTAATTTGCAAAATAAACGCAATGGCAATTCTGTAAATAATTCAAAAATCAATTTGAAGCCCGACGCCACCTCCTGCTTGCTGCCGGCGCCACGTAGCTGCTTGCCGCCGACCGTCTTCGCCGCTTTCTCGAGCGGTGACACGCTTCTGACTCCGTGGCGACCTCGTTCGGGAGCTGTCGAAGCCGGACGCACCCTTCCCTTCTATAAATAGGAGCACCGCCGCCGCCGTCGTTCTTTTTTCCTAAAATGCGCTTCGCATTGTTGGTGTCCTTCTGCTGCTTCGCAAAATTCATCCTAGCCGTAGCACCTCGTGCCAATTGCATTTGCCAACCTCTTCGTCTCGCCTTGCCGCTCCTTCCAGGCCTGCTCGCCTCGCCTCTAGCAGTCCAGCCGCCACATGTGACGTCTTCTTCTTGAGCCGATCGAAGCACCGCCACCACCGACCTCACCATGGCCAAGCCGCCCAAATTGTCTCCGCTTTCACCGAGTCTCACCGACGTGTTCGCGGTGAGCTCCTGAGCGTGATGCTCGCTCCGCTTTAGCCTTTACCGCATCGTAGTCAGGGTTGTGCCGTGCGCCGCCGTGCCCGCGCCGCCATGGCCGGCGTAGAGCTTCTTCCGGTGTGCCTGCTGCTGTTCTGAGGGTAGGGATAGGTTCACGGGGTGGTGTAGATCATCTTTGGTGCGGTCCGCCTCTTTGACGAGCCTCACCACGGCAAGGCTTATCGGGCCGGAGCTGGCAGCGCCGCCGTGTGTCCTGTGTTGTGTCGCTGACATGCGGGGACCGATTGTCAGTGAGAGAGAGGGAGAGGGAGAGAGAACAGAGAGATTTGTTATTTTCTGAATTTTGAATACTGCAACAACTTTGGAAAATCATAGGAAAATAATTACAGCTTTAAAAATTCTGAAAATTTGTGTGTAGCTTCTGTACATGTTCTATTATGGTTTAAAAATATGAAACTTGAAATTTGAATAAATTTTTAATGTTTAAAAATTCAGTCAATTAATTGATAAATGCAATTTCCATAATTTTTGTAGGCCACTGTATAACTCCAAAAATTATGAAATTTATTTTGGTACACTAATTTATCATGAGGAATCTTACATAAAAATTTTGAGGTCATTTGGAACAATTTAATTTTTGAGCTTAATTCCAAATTAATTAAAAAATGGATAAAAGCAGACCCTTAGTGTTAGGTTTAGAGTTTGATCTTGTTTTGGTCATGTTTTGTGACCAGTAGGGTTTCAAGATCAATTTGGTCAAGTCACTTAGGTCATAAGCCCTAGGTCATTAAAGTTTGGTTAGAGTATAATTAATGAATGATTTCATTCATTAAGGGTAGAACTTTGGAGTGAAACTTTGGGTAATTCTTTAGAAGAATGTAGGGTTTCTTAGTAAATATTTTTGTGTGATCCTTGATGGTAGAATTGCAAGTTGGTTTTGTTGGCTTGCAACTATACCGTGAAGGAAAGTTATACTCAAGGTGTTATTACATTTCATGCACCATGAAAACATCATGTTTACATTATCATCATGTTGAAGCATATGTTATTATTTCATGTAGAATCCGAGAGTGAATCGATTCTAGTTGAGCAAGTTGTGGAAGAATCCCCGGTTGTCTCGGGATTTGATATTTGTGGTACTGATCCGGAACCCGAGATCGTCAACGAAGGCAAGCCCCGGTTTATGCATTAAACCATTACCTTGTTTACTTTGAAAAGTTTATCACCTATGTTACCTATTGCATTAAGTTGATTTATTCAAATGTTACCTACTTGATGCATTGCCTACCTTGTTAATTGTTTACCATCCTTGAAGATGATTTCATTTATAAAGGCGTAGAATGCTTAGTATGCTTTATGGTAGGCTTTTAAAGTAAAAGTTTCAATATAATCAAAGATGACATACTGGCCAAAGAAAGAAAGAAAATAGAATGAACTAGAGACTAGTCGGGTGACTTATCTTGAATGTTGGGTAATGTTGTCGACTATGTCGCTTAAAGGCCACTCATCGTGGATCTTCTGAACGAGACACTTTGTAGTACTGGTCACATACTCCGGTAAGCCTACTTCGGCTAATCCGATACTAAGACGAATGCCCACGCACTGGGAGTGGAGAGATGGCGGGAGTAGCGTGTACCCTCGTGGCTGGAATGTGGCCGGATTTGAGGTGTGCTGTGCTCTTGGGTGGCGTGGAGACGGCTTAGTATAGGAGGATCCAGTAGCGAGGTTGATATATGCAAGATTAAGTTCTACATATATCGTGTGATAAGGAATCCCCAACTGGGACTTGAATCAATTCGAAATGCCGGTGCTCCACGGATATGGAGACTCGTTTCATTACAGAAGCAATGCAGGACTGGTGAATTACTAAAATATGAGAAAAAGAATGGAATGAGAAGGATTGGAATATGGGATATGAACACTTAGTTTGAGATAATGAACTAAGAAGACTTAGGGGTAAAACTTGAAAATAGAATAAGAATAGTAAGCTTTTGGTAAAGAACTTTTGAATCTTGCTACATCCTTATCTTGTCCCAACACCTGCATCCCTAAGACCTTCGCCCCTTTTTCGTCGGGTCAGTCTTGTTGAGTACTTTTGT